AGTGGATCAGTCTTTAATGCACGTGTGGCCAAAGCATCTCCCCCATTCACCGTCGTCATGGCCACACGCCGCCGCCGCTCCTCCTCCGCCCCCTGACCCGTCCTTCTGGCACCACCACCAACGGGTAGTTAACAAAACCCTCATTTTGTCACTGTTTTTTTTCCTTCACTCTCACGAGTTGTACAATAAAGAATAAACCTTGTTTTTTTTGTTTGGTTTTTTGGTTCTGTGTGTAGGTTCCAAATGCGTTAACCCCAGGAACGCCTTGCTTCCCACAGCCAATGGCAACCACGGTAATTTTAATTTATTTTTCACTTTCAGCACTTCAGTTAACTAAGTACTCCTTTAATTTGACCCTTTTCTCAGTGTCTTTACATCCAACAAAATTTACGATGCTACTGACCATATGGCATGGGCCGTCCGGCCTTGGCAAGACTTTATACGATGCCTTTCACATTTTCTAAAAATTTTATTTAGATTCATCACATATTTGTTTTTTATTTCATCCAAAATACCTCTCTTTATCTATATATTATGGATTATCTCGGATTTGTTTACCCTCCTTACCATCCTAACAACCATTGATGTAGCATATCTTTAGGGTTATCACTTCCCTCGTGCCGTGGCAGTATAAGATATTGTCATTATTCAGATTATCACATAATTTATATTAGTTCTTCTGCAACACCTATATGTGTCAAATGACCATCTCGGGCATGACGAAAATAATAATTCAATTAATTTATGTAAGTAAAGTTTAGGTGGAGTATTTCAACCCCTACATTTCGTGAGCCATCGTTAAAATTTTACACTTCGTGAGTCATTGTTAAAGTTTCGACAAATAAGAGAGAAAACGGAATAAGATACTTTTCTTGGTTACTAACAAAATTATCAAATGGGTGGGAAGGGAAATTTTGAGCAGGTATTTTGATTTAAAGTCAAGAAGTTGTAGAAATTTTGATGCTTCGTCATGGTTTTTCAAATCCAATCTTATATTGCTATAATTTCTCTTTTTTTCTGATATATATCTCTTGTACACGTTAATGAAATGATCCATTAGAAAAAAGTGAAGAAATTTGGATGGGTGAAGTAAAAAGGGTTGAAAATATTATTAATAATGTATTTGTGTGTAGGTGGGGAGATTTGGTGGGGCAGCGTTCTCGGTTATCCCACCGCCTCATCCGATGTACAAAGTAGACCCCAGCAGCAGCAGCAGCAGCGTTGCCCAGTCCCACCCTCCCCTCGACTCTTATCCTGTAAGATATGATATGTGTGTATAATTTTCCTGTTACGCACTACACAAAATAGTAAATACATAGATTAAGATTAGGGTTTGAAATAATTGAGAATTAAATATGTGTAATATATGGCAGTCCAAAGAGAGCATAGACTCAGCTATCGGAGATGTTTTAGCGAAGCCATGGCTGCCACTTCCTCTTGGTCTCAAGCCTCCCTCTTTGGACAGCGTCAAGGTGGAATTGCACAGACAAGGCATTCCTAAAATACCACCTTCTTCCTCCTCCTGCGCTTCATTACCTTAATATTAATCATTTTACCATAATTAAAACGGCCCCGGTGAGATGGATATGTTGGACGTGTGTTTCACTGTTTCATCCGCCGCCTGCTGCCCGGACAGCTCCAGCTTCCATCAATTAATTTGACGACATTTCGTTATTAGATCAGGATCATGATCTATAATGCCACTTGATCTCTCTTCTTCTTCTGAGCTTTTATTTTGGTGGTTGTATTAACATAATGAGCCACGGAACACCCCTTTTTTTCTTCTTCTTTTTTGGCTCCCCCGTGTAATAATAATTATAAACAAAAAAAATAATAATCATACACCTTTTTCGAATAACTTATTCTCTCATATATCAAGTGTGTGTTGTGTCGTGTTTTTATTAATTTTTGGTGTTTACCGAATCGGTATGTGTGCCAGTTTTATTTTTGTTTTGATGATCTCAGACTTTTGGACGATTGGGATTAAGAGTGGAAGAATCAGCGGCTCAGATTTGTGGAAGGAAATAATTTGGTGTTGCAAATTTATTTGAGCTTTGATGCTATTCGTGCGCATCCGATGGACGAAAATTAAATTTACTGCATAAATTAAATTTATGATACTTTGATTGCTATAAATCGTGTATTAATTATTTTGGCATAAAAAGTTTAGTTTGTTACTATATTTGGTTTGAGCTTTGGTTTAGAAAATTGAATCTACAACCCTATTTACTTCCTAGGTTATCTTATCGATCCATAATAGATAAGATACTAGCTAGATATTACTAAGATGGATGGTTCAATATATTGAACTTAAAAGAAATTGTGATTTAATTTGTCAATATAACTATAATTCAACTAGTAAAAATATCTATCTCTGATGAAAAAAAGTTATGAGTTAAAGAAATCATTAACCATTTAAGTTTCTATACATGAGTAACACCTTTAACTAGAGTGAAAAAAAGTTGGGAAAAAAAGCAATACAAGTAATAAAATTAAACTTTTCGTTGCATTGAATTCTAAAAAGAGTAACTAAGAAAAGATATGTTATGCCAAGTAAAAAGGACAAAAGAACATTAGAGCGCTTACCGTTTTTTTATACCAGTCCAAATTGGTATGTTGTTTGCAATTCATCAGTAGAATTTTTGGACCATCTTCTTCTCCATTTCCATTGCCCTTTTACAGTGGCTCTCATCTATTAGAGGCTTTTCATATAGCCCTTGCACTCTCAGCACGAATCGATCTATATATAAAAAAAAGTACAACAAAGGTGGGATAATGATTTAAATCGACAATAATCTTAAACAAAAAAGTTATACATCTTTACTGTTGACCTATATTCGTCAGAAATACTCCTTCAACTTAACATTTACATATTTGCTAAATGAGTTCAAATTTCTTTATCATGGTACATTAAGAAACACTCTTTTCAATAACCCTGGTCAGATTTCTATAACGTTTGCTCTTGCATGAGAAAATATAAGCTCAAATTTTTTAATTGTTTTTAAATACTCAAAATAAAATGAAAATGTCTTTAAGCTGATAGTCGTTGAAGTGTACATTTTTTTGGGAAGAGAAAACCAAACAAATAGATGTGCAGACAAAATATAAACAAAGAATGTCATCCAATATTGGAAGAGGAAAACTAAAAAGCTACTTGTATTGTTACTCCACAATTAAAAAATGTTATCTGTAAGCTTATTTTTCTTTTCTAGAGAAATATAATAATAGATTGATTATATATGTGCATGCAGTGTTGAAAACTTTATGGTAGACACATGAAGTAGCATATGATTTAAACTAGTGTGAGTAAAGGCAAGAAT